TACATATAAAAATAACATATAAAAACCAATGATAAGCTTCTTTGGAATGCTTACAGATTTTTTTAGACAAGAGGTCAAACGAGCACTTCGATTAGCTGAAAAAGTACATGTAAGAACAGAAATCTGTAACAGTAATGGAAATACAAACTCAATTTGGAAAATTATAAACCGCTGCTTRCCAAACAAGAAAACCCAAAATGGTTTTCATACTTCTACCTGGCTGATAGATTTAACAACTATTTTACATCTGTTGGATCAACTGCTGCACAAAAAGCACAAAACCTTGCTATTGAACATAATTTTCAATTAACTCCTCATGCTTCAGCACAAAAATGTACTGACAAGACATCTCAAGCTTTCCAGTTTCGTACTGTATCACAACAGGACGTAGAACAGGTCATTAAACATATTGGTGCGGTATTGCGGTAAAAAATACACTCGTCTTACTCTTCGTTTCGTTTATTTGATTGCGTTAGAGAGAGTTCCTAATAATGAAGGAAAGATTACAATTTAACAGAAAACGATTAAAGTAAACGGAAAGCAAAAGAAATAGAAAAAAATACTTACAAAACGATGTGCAACTTAAGACGGTCGACGTTGAACTGAAAAATTACTAACTGAGCTTGAGTGAACTTAACTTAGTCTTAATTATGCACATATTTAAAGTCTGGAAACAAAAGGCGAAAAATGCACACGGGAAATCTAGCACTAACATCCTCCCCCAAATAAGAGAGATATGCGACTCTTATGAATGAAACTTATTAGTGCTTGTTATTAAATAATCTTATCAAAAAGGTGTCTTTAAAGCAATAATATAATATTAAACATAAAGTGTTCAATGAAATGTTCATTGTGTCTTTACTCTATTGGGCATCGTTCTCCAGTACCAATACGAGTTTCGTGATTGGTCGTTCCAGAGTTGTAGTTGATGTCTTCACTGTTGCTGAACGTACAAGGTTCTTGCAGTCGGTCTTGACTTGGAGGATTCTGTTTCGTCGCTCCAGAATGCTGGTCTTGTGGTGCTCTTGTGTTGTGATCGCGTTCACTATTGACTCGTTCTTATCRTTATCGYTGTTGACGAAGCACTCTGGCCATTCTGAATCTGGCTTCCACAAGAAATCCGGGCCTTTTATCCAACGGTGTTGATCATTAAGTTTGTCGACATCTAGACCACKTGATAAATCATCTGCGGGATTTTCTTTTCCTGACACATACCTCCATTGTTCTGGTTAGTTTTAACTCTTATCGTCTGGACTCTATTTGCAGCGTACACTTGATATCGTGCTTGTTCGTTGTGGATATATCTTAGAACTGTGGTACTGTCGGTCCAGTATGTTGGGTTTTGTACRTCATAATCAAGTTCTCCAACGAGCTTGTTTCCGATCCCATTAGAAACGCACAATGAATTTCTCCTCTTGAATTGACTTGTCGTAGGTAGGAGACTTGACCATATCCTGTACAGCTGGCGTCAGAAAAGTTATGAATCTGTCGATCGATGACGTTCCAAAGTTTGCAGGCTTKACGCATCTTGTAACGCTGAACTTCTCAAGCAAAGGCAATTGGTTTCTCCATTTTTCCCAAGCGTGAACATATTCTTCGGGCACGGGACCGTCCCAGCTAGCATTTGTTTTGCAAAGTTCCTGCAAAATTATCTTTCCAGGCAGTAGAACTGGAGCTGCGAAACCAAGTGGGTCGTACACTGAGCTTATCGTCGATAATATTCCTCTTCTTGTAAGGGGCTTATCTTTAAGAGTGATCTTGAAACTAAATGTGTCAGACTCGATATGCCATTGGACTCCAAGTGCACGTTCAACTGGTAAGTCGTCAAAGCTAAGGTCGATACCTTTCACTTCTTTGGAACGATCTTCTTCGGGAATGCTTTCCAATAATCTTCTGCTATTGCTCRTTATCTTTGTAAGTCGAAAGCCACCWTTCGAACATGCTGCGATTGTGCTGTCTAAGCGTTCAAWTGCTTTTTCTTCTGTTTCCTCTGAGCGTAAGCAATCATCTACGTAGAAGTTCTTTCTCAGGACATCTGCCGTTTCCTTTCCARCTTCGCTCTCTGTATTATMAGCTGTCCTTCGAACCGCATAATTGGCACAGCTTGGTGAGGAAATTGCGCCAAACAAATGAACATTCATCTGGTACTCGTGTAAACTTTGCGATAGATCTCCCTTGGGCCACCAGAGGAATCTCAGGAAATTGCGATGYTTTTCTGCTACACGCACTTGATGGAACATWGCCTCTATATCAGCTTGAAAGGCTACTGGCTCTTTGCGAAATCTTGTCAGTACTCCAACTAGGGAACTTGCCAAATCTGGACCTTGTAACAGTTTACTGTTAAGAGATGTTTCGCCGTATCTTGCACTGCAATCAAAGACTACTCGTAKCTTTGGCTTGTGGGGATGATACACTCCATGGTGCGGTAAATACCAAACCTTTCCTGATTCGGGTAGAGCTTGTGACAATGGTACCCTTCTGGCATAGTCTTTGTCCAGTAGATCATTCATGAATTTAACATAGTCCTCGTGCATCTTCTGATTCTTGAGTAGTTTATTCTTTGTCCATGTGGCTCTTGAGATAGCTTGTTCTTTGTTACACGGCATGAGGACAACACTGTCTCTGAAAGGTAGTGGCATGTTGTAATGTCCATTCTCGTATCTAATCCCTTCTTCAATAATCTTCAAGAAATGTTTGTCATCTTGAGAATAGGTAGTCACAGTGTTATCCATTCTTTCGTTGAATTCTAGCTCCATCATACTATTCAGCGCCTTCGGGGTGATGATCTCCTTAGTATTGCTGACTAACATAATATGATCCATGGATGACTTTACTGGGTTTAACTCTTTCACACAAATACGGTTAGAATTGATACATTCTTGCTTGTTCTGGACGTCCAAAGGTCCTACGACGGTCCATCCAGCAAAGGTTAGAACTGCGTACGGGCCATTGCTTTTACTTGTAATGAAGTCTCTTGGTTCGATCGCCTTTGGGCAGTTTGTGCTGATGAGTACTCCAACCTTTGAATCTTGTAGGCGTTCAGGAATCTGATCTGCTACTCGGTTTAGATGTTGCCATTTTTCAGCCATTTCACGTTGAGGTATGTCATTGTCAGACGATGGGATGCTTTCTCTTGTGAACGTTCTTGGTAGCTCTAAGCTATTTTCACCCTTTAGATCAGAGATCTTGAGACCAGTAACAGCTTTGGTGTCTTGAAGTGCTTGACTATTCATCGTTCGTAACAGGATTGTCGTATCTGCGCCTTCTAACTTCAAATGCTTGTAGATATCTTCAGCTATGAATGTACCTGTACTACAACTATCGAGCATTGCGTACGTTGAGATCTGATTGTTCCTCCATYGTAGCTTGACAGGAACGACAGGTAAGGATTGAGTTTGCTGTGTGGYAGTACTGCATGTMTCAGAAGCAATAATTCTTGAGTTGGAAACGCGATTACTGTCAGCAATGTTGTTAACGCCAGGTTTGCTGCCTTCCTTTCCATGTGACGAGTCAGACCTTTGTGTCGCTATAAAGTTGTAATCGTGGAGACCAGTTGGATGTCGTACTTCGCAGATAGTACATTTTCTTTTCTGTATACAGCCACGTGATCTATGACCTCGTTTGTAGCAGTCGTAACACATCTGTTTCTCGGAGAGGAACTTCTTATTTTCGTTCAATGATTTGTCTTTATATTGCTTGCAGTCATCAAGATCGTGAGCTTCATTACATAAAATACATCTCGAATTGGAACTTGATTGCACTACTGTTGCAGGCGATAAAGTTAGCGAAACTCTTGAAACTGGGAATGCTATCTTCAGAATCTCTGATGGTTACAACGTGTCTCCTCCATCTGTCTTGTAGGTATAATGGTAACTTTCTGACTAAGTTCTGAAGATTATGCGGATGATCCAAGATAGAGAGGTACGACATCGATTCCATGGCGCACACACACTGAGTCAGGAAGATGGACAGACGGTCTAGGGCGGCGTTGTCTCCAGAATTGATTACAGGCCAAAAATGCAGCTTTCTTGATGTAAGCGTTTGAAATTTTGTAAGGATCTCCATATTTCTCTTTAAGAAGTTTCTTGGCTTCTGGATATCCTATTTTCGCGTCTTTGTACCGACATCCCTTGATCAAGTCCTTAGCTTCACCTTCTAAGTATTGTTCCAGATATCGCAGACAGACTTCACAAGAAGAGACTTTGGACTCAATCTGTGACTCAAAGCTGGTGATAAACGTCGAGAAGTCTACAGGGTCGTTGGTGAAGGTAGATAACGTCAGAGGTGGTAATGAGTTTCTCTGATGATGCTCGGTGAATAATTCAGTCAACGTGTTCTGCCTATCCAGAAACCTTGCTAATGATACATCATCTTCACGTGGGTATCTTGGAGAGTACTGCCAATCATAATTAGATCGTCGTGGCGTCGAATACGGTGGTTCTTCTTCGTGTTTGATATTTCTGTAGCAGCAGTTAGGGGGACTCGCGACAGGGGTACCGTATGAGTCGGGTATTACCCCCGCCAAGTACCACCGGTCCCCCGCGGGTATTCCTCGCATTACCACTAACTGCTGCTGTGTTTGTATCGCAAACGAGGGTTAAGATATTTGTTATATATAGATGGACAACATCTCGAGCATTCGAAAC